ATGAAAAAGCAAGATGATTTTGGTATTTGAGTTCTTACAAGCTACATATCTTTGTCTGACACATTTTTTTTTTTAAAGCAGGACCTTATTGGAAGATTACAGAAATGATTTTCCTTTGTGGGGAGGTACCTTGCCTCATTTTTTTTATAAATCCCACTCAAGAGCTTTGATAATATAAAAACAATGTCAGGTGCTGTGTAGAGCTGTTACCCCCTCAGAGGACTTTCAAATAGGAAGACTCTGAGCCCTATCACCTGGAGCTAGCACATGGAGTGATTTAAATAGTCACCTGCTTCTAACACCCATTCGGTTCTCGGGCCTTTTGTGTCACCAGCTTGCTTCTCTGCAGAACCAGCCACCTCTAAAAGGTGAGAAATGCAAGGGACCCACACAATGACAGAACACTCTCAGGACCAGCACAGAGAGGAGAGGAGAGGAAAAGGCAGAGCGAAGGCAGGACAGCGCCACACATGAGCACTTGCATGATAGCTCCCGGAGGGTCCTGGGTGGAGGGGGCAGCCTGACCCTGAGCAGCAAGGGCTGTGACCTCTCTGAGCTATAAAAGGGAAGCCGAGGCCGAGGGGCTGTCAGCAGGGCTGTTTCATCCTCTTGAATTCGAAGACAGCTCCCCCTGCTAATTCGCACTGATCTCTAGGCTGCTCCGCTGACTTTCCATTCAGGAAATGTGGTCAGCCACGCTCCTGTGGCAGCACAGAAGCTCCCAAGCTTTCTCCGTGAGTGCCAGCTGGAGCACCTGATTTAATTGTCGGCAGAGGGGAATAATAGGTACCTCTGGCAGGTCTTAATACGCTCTTAAAATAGGGGGAAAGTTTTCTGTTATGACATTGACAGAGAGGCGATGATTTTGAGTAAATGCAGGAAGATGCGGAGATGCTTTAAGATTAAATAAGAGCTATATAAAGGCTTGTCAGAATGAATTCTAATGTGCCACAAGACACTTTGCATACGCTTAAATATGCTAAGTGTCTCTTGGCATCCTAGAATTCATTCTGACAAGCCTTTATATAGCTCTTATTTAAACTCTGACATTACTTTTAGGGAGCAGGTACTAGAGATACACTTCGACTGGGATCCACCAAGGGTAGTGTTTATTGATTTAGTGTTGGTAGTGAAGGGAACAAAAAGAAACAGAGTACACAAGCGCAGTCAAAAGTGGAAGCTTGTTTAATATTGCTCTACCAGCATCCTGAAAGGCATAATAATTTGAGTTACACATCTGAACTGATTGGAGTTACAGAATCATATCTCCTTTTTGCATTTAACAATATATACAATATAAAATAAATACATTTACACAAATGGACATTTGCTGGAGCACACAGTATGGTACACATCACAAAAATATACAATTGATTGCTTTACAGATGTGAGGCTCATCTACATCTATAGACATGGTTTTATTATTATTATCATTATTATTATTTTTTTTACTACTGGCTATAATGCAACTCCTGGATTATTATAAGCCGTTTAAGTTTTTTTTTTTTTGTCCTTTTACGATCTTTGCACAGAAGACTGCCATAAAATGTTTTCCTAGGCAGGTAAACAGAGACGCTTAAATAATTAAAATACAATCACCAAACACCCATTTTCTCTTCTATAAGAAAAATAGCAGTTTTAAATTTTTTATATCTTTTATGTTATCATTTAAATGCAAAATAGCAGAATAAATACAACAATCTGATCTGATTGAAACAGGAGTGTAGCTACAACGAGTCACACAATCATATTGCTTTAAATAAGAACAAATCAAAAAAAAGGAGCAAAGGAAAACTTGAAAAAAAATATATCATACAGTGAAAACATACACCTTTAAAACTTTCCAACACTTCACATTAAGTAAATGGTCTTGCTTAAATCTTGAAAAAAAAAAAAAAAACCTTCCCTCAAAGCGAGGATGAGTATTTACTTTTAAGCTCATGTATTTCTTCTCCATCTAAATTTTAGTGTTTTATTTCCCTATTCGTTAGCTATTTGTTCTTGCAATGTTGCCTCACTTAAACTGAAAACTAAAAATTGTACCTTGCTATTTTACTCCACCTCTTGCTTTTCAGTTGTTTGGCTCTGAACTTCTGAAGCCCAAGTACTTTAATGTGATACAGTGAAATGTGGTATATATTTGTATATATTTTATTTATATAGTGTGTAGTTGAATAGTAGCAACTTAAACCCTGCACAAACTTTCTGGAAAATAATCTTACATATATAAATTATCTTATAGAATCAGCACCTTTTTTTCCCAGGAGTTGTATTTTTTGTTTTTGTTGTTATTTTTTTCAGGGATGTGCCAATTTCTGAACTCCTATCACAGCTATTAATTTCAAGTTATTGACCATCTGAATGAATTGCTAATGATGATTTATCTAGAATCACACTACAGTCACTTCTCTACTGAGAAACCACAATCTACAATATAGTCCCATATAGCTAATGATAGATACACAGTATTCCTAGCACTGGGTTGGAATTTCATCAACCCAAGGTATTTCGTTTAAAGCACACAAAGTAGCAATAGTTTTGGAAACTAGTCCGCACCAAAAAAGTTTCGCAACAACACAGAGCGAGTTAATAACAACATCTGAAAGATGATCGAGTGAAAGCCATATATACAGCATTTAAAAATTAGACTTATCTATATTCTTGAAATATTCAAAGTTTTATTTCTAAGCTATACATTGGTATTCTATAATAAACCATTAGAGAAATTATTCCTTGTTTTTTTTGAAAATATTATTACGATTCTGATGTGTATCTGTTCATAATGAATACTTGGTTGGACTTTCCATCTCTTAATGATTATGAGGAAGAACCTTATTACTGGTAAGGAATAGAATATACTACTGTAGTCTCCTGAGGAATTGTACATCCAATATTGTCTCTAATTCTACCCTGTGTCTAAAAGCACACAACCACAAGAATCCAAACACCACGAGAACAAGACGACAGTCTTTGAATGCAACATAAAATTCAGAGAAGCACGGCAAACATGAAACATTGAGAAGCTGAACTACATTTCTTTTGTTTGTTAGGATTACAATTTTAATTACATCTGTGTACATAGAATAAGACTGTTCACATAGTACAGGGAGCAGCTACTAACACTGGTCCATTGGTATAGCATTTGATGGAGGTTACTGTTTATTGGTTATTCAGCGACTGTAGTTTTCGGGGGTATCTAATTGGTTTCTTCATTAGATTACACCTCTTAACAGTCTGGAACCTGACTGACTTCCATGCTGTGACAATACTGGTTGAAAAAGCATATATGTATTGGCTTAGCTCTTGGCAAAAAACTGCAGGTTAATTTAAACAAACATTTCCAAATGAATAAACTGATATGAATCAGGTTTTAGAATTTGGGTCAGGCGTCTGCTGTCTTTGATGATTTTTTTTGTTTAGTTTTGTTTTAAATTCTGGCATTTGCCTTATTGCCTTTTAAACAAATACTGGCTCACAGCTCCTTCTGAGACAAGGTCTGTAAGTTTGCCAACAGGCAGTATCTCATTCCTAACCACCATGGTAGCTAGAACTCCTATGGCCACTGGACCTCCCTGGTAGAGAGAGAGAGGTGCACTCACGATTTTCCTATGCATCGGTATTCCATGTGCAGAGCTTATAGATTTGACTGCTCAGAGTTACCGTAGGTGTAATCTAATCCTTGGTGTCAGTGTACATTTGGGTAAACTGGAGCTCATGTTAAGAAATTGATGTTTGGGACCAGACTGGCACACAACATAAATTGCATCCGTGATAATATGCACCTTCCCTTCAACTATTGCTTGAGTTTAGTTAAATTCCCATATTAATAAATGGCTGAAAAGTGGTAAAGCTGGTACAAAAAAATCTCCATTTGTAAGAAGAAACAAAACATCATTTTTAAAAATCTTCCTTCAGGATTCATTTGTCCTTCATTTATTGTTCGTAAGTGTTCAAAGCCAGCACAAAAAATCGCAGTATTCTTATTTCTCTTTAGTATTGCATGAATGAATAAAGCTTAAACTATTCCCTGAAAAAGTTACATAGTAGCTAAACTAACAAATACCTGGAAGACTTGAAAAAACAATTAAGGAATCAAATGGCTGTAACTGATCTAGATGGAAAAGCGATGATAAGAAGCAGCCGATGATGCAACATTGCTTGAGTTGTCTAATTAGAGGCTGCTCCCAGGAAATCTAATACTGCACTCAGTCAATTCGTGTCTGTTGCACTGTCCTTTTAGGTGTGTCGGTTCTCTCTTTGATTCCTTAGTCATGGGACGTCATGGTTCACGATAAGTTCACTGGTATCCATAGTATGGATCTCCATCCTTTGGCAGGGCTGGCTTCCATCTCTCTTTAGTTAGAGAACTTTAAAAGTTCAGCAGCAAAAGGAAAGGAAGGGGAAGGGAAAGGGAAAAGGAAATGGTAAAGGGAGGAAAGGAGAGGGTAGGGGAAAGGGAGGGAGGGAATGGATGAGAGGAAGAGGAAAGAAAGGGAAGGGGAAAGGGACAGAAGAGATAAAAAGGAGAAGAGGCAAGGGAGGGGAGGGCAGGGAAGGGGAGGAGGGAAAATGGAAAGTTTTCTTATAATAAGAGCTGAAAATCAGAATAAAAGAGAAGGACAAGGAGGGAAAGGGAGGAGAGTACAGGAAGGAAGGAAGGAAGGAAGGAAGGAAGGAAGGAAGGAAGGAAGGAAGGAAGGAAGGAAGGAAGGAAGAAGGGAGAGAGGGAGGGAGGGAGGAAAGGCAAAGAATGAAAGAAGCCAGCAAATTAAAGGAGAGAGTGAAAATGGGAGAGTGAAGAAAAAGAGGAAAAGAAAATGAAAAACAGAAGAAAGGAAAGTGAGATGCGGTGAAAGGAAACTCATCAGGAAGACATGGAGGAATCTGAAAGCTTCTTCGAGTCTTGCTGCTAAAGTATCAGTGCAGTCTGTATTGAATTTTGTTGTTGTTAACTAAATACTAAGTTTCTTCGACATCACTTTTGGGTTTATTTTCCCTTTTTCAACGTGCAGGATGGGAAGGCCCAGAAAGCGTTTAGTCAGACCTTGGCCTCTAGCATTTCCAAAAAAAGTTTGTGCATGGGGACTTTGCCTTCTAGTTTGATGTTGTAGAAATGCTGCACAGCCTTGGTAGATGTCTGCCTCAGCAGGGGCAGCGTCATTAGCATCTTGCCTGCTCTGCGTGGGTCTTCCATGTGCTGGCCGGCCTCATAATCCTGCAGGGCCTCGTGTAAGACATCCTGGAGCTTCTGCACTGCTTCAACGTCTTCTATATGCATAGAGTCTGTAAAACAAGGTGGGAGGCAAAGGTCATCCTGTGAGGAACAGTAGCTTCATATACCTTAACATTGGAAAGTTGAAATAGACCCTACACCAGATACACCAAGAAAACGACAGGACAATATATGTGATGCACAGGAATGTAAAAATTCTCAAACCATCATAAAAATCCTGGGACTTGAACCTGGGGCCTGGGCATTGTTCCTGGATTTCTTTTGCTCAAGGCTAGTGCCACAGTACCAATTCTGGCTTTTTTGTTTGTTTGTTTATTAGAGATAAAAGTCTCGTAGACTTTAGTAGCTAGGATTACAGGCGTGAGCCAACAGCACCTAGCTGCCTTGTTTTTTTTTTTTTTTCTGGTGCTTGGGCTTGAACTCTGGGCTTGGCGCTGTTCCTCAGCTCTTCAGCTCAAGGCAAGTGCTCTACCACTTGAGCCACAGTGCCACTTCCGGTTTTTGAGAGGTTTCTTGGAGATAAGAGTCTCACAGACTTTCCTGCCCAGGCTGGTTTTGAACCCTGATCCTCAGATCTCAGCCTCCTGAGTAGCTAGGATTACAGGTGTGAGCCATCAGCGCCTTGCACAAGTTGTAGCTTTTTAACTTTCTAAGATTGAAACTATAATTTGTTCAGAGCCCTCCATTTCAAAATCTTTATCTTCTTCACTAAAAGTTCATGTGACAATTTCTAAGGCTAGCTTTGAACGTGGGAATTATTACAAAATATGTGTTATTTAAAATGCATGCTTTTTTTATAAGCTGGGTGCCAGTGGTTCATGTCTGTCTATAATCCTATCTACTGAGGTGTACAGCCAGCCCCAGCAGAAAAGGCCATGAGACCCTTTATCTACAATTAACCATCAAAAAGCTGGAAATTGAGGTGTGGCTTAACTTTAGAAATTATATGTTTGTTTCTAAGAAAAGATAACCTAGAAAACAAATAAGTCAGGGCTGGGAAGGTGGCTCAGTGGTAGAGCGCTTGCCTTGCATGCTCGAGGCCCTGGGTTCGATTCCTCAGCACCACATAAGCAAAAAGAAAAAAGCCGGAAGTGGCGCTGTGGCTCAAGTGGTAGAGTGCTAGCCTTGAGCTGAAAAGCTGAGGGACAGCGCCCAGGCCCAGAGTTCAAGCCCCACGACCGGCCCCCCCCCCCCCAAAAAAAAGAAAGAAAACAAGTAAGACTATTCTATGACCAAAAACCAGGCTGGAGAGAAGCCTAGGTTGAAATCACTCACAGGGAAAGGGGGCCATGTCTGGACGATACTGTTCCACTATTCCTTACTTGGAAAAATTCCCCTTTGTGACTCTACCAAGAGTCTAAATCTGTAACTGTAAATACTTATAAGAATAGCATTGCAGTTTGTTGAAAATTTCTTTAGAAGTAACACTTATTTGTATTAACTATTAATGTAAGTTGTGGCTAATTCGCCATTGATGTGGTATAATAACTCACCATAACAATGTAAAAGAAAAAAGTAACAGTAAGCAGAATACACAGAAGTAAAAAAAAAAAAACAACCACAGTACTGGTTACATTCATCTCTCTCTTTTCATTATATGTTGGACCACTTCATTTTAAATTATGATTCTTTTTCATTCATGGAATCTATATTTGCATCGTATGAAAGATTTGGCTAACTGCATGTATCTTAGCGCTCAGCATTCTCAGGGATCTAGAATTATTAAACATGAAGAATCCCCGAAAGACTCTATTATGTGTAATTAACAGATAAACTGTCATCAGAATCAATAAAACGTGCTAAATGATTCAAACTTGTATATAATTAAGTGTCTGTTTTAGTGCTAGAGCTGTAACTTCTTTTTCCCCCTACATCTCACATTTCTCACAAGAATAATTGTGGCAACCTTGTTAACCCTTCTTTTTCTCGATTGAATTAGATTTTCAAATTAGTCATTTAGGGGCAAAGTGCAGTCTCATAAATGTGAGGACTATTTCACAACTCAATAATTGGAAGACATCATTTGTTGTTGTTGTTATTGTTGTTAATCAGTGACATAGCACATGTAGGATGCTTCATCCTGAAAGGATGAAGAATTTCTTGAGTTCAGTGTAGTGTTAGATACGATGCATTTACACAGAATTATTAATTAAAGTCTTGGTCCATCTGCATTTTTTCCTTTGGGAAATACAAGCTTTCTTGCCAGCAAGATGAGGATTTTGAACAACTTTACCTCAGACGACACTTAGAATAATATTTTCAATAAATGGCCTTCTATATGTACCTTTTTATTTTTGTACAAAGCTAGCCTGAGCAGGAAAGACCATGAGACTCTTGTCTCCAAATAATTACCAGAGGCCTGAAATGAAACTGTGGCTAAAGTGGTAGAGCAATAACGCTGAGTGAAAAAGCTAAGAGACAGCACTCAGGCCCTGAGTTCAATCCCCAGGACTGATCCTTCCTCCCCTCTACTCCCAAAAAGGATTATACTTCAGATAATGAAATGAGGTAGATTTATCCATGAAAACAGAAAAAAAATAAATTAGTGGAAAAAAGATATATATATATATATATATATATATATATATATATATTTTTTTTTTTTTTTTTCCCTTGTTGGTCGTGAGTCTTGAACTCTGGGCCTGGGTGCTGTCCTTTAGCTCTTTAGCTCAAGGTTAGTGCTCTACCACTTGAGCCACAGTGCCACTTCTGCTTTTCTGAGTGGTTTATTGGAGATAAGAGTCTCAGAGACTTTTGTGCCCAGGCTGGCTTTTAACTGCGATCCTCAGGCCTCAGCTCCTGAGTAGCTAGGATTACAGGAGTTAGCCACCAGCCTCTGGCTAAGAATTATATTTTTTAAGTAAAAAAAAAGTAGAACAAAATGCACATCTTAAAACTAGTCTGGAAGAAGAAGAATAAATGGATCATCTATTAGTCATGCATTTGCGGGGGTCAATAGTTTCTTGTTTCACTTCCCAATTGCCCTGCAAACCAGGTGGCCAGAGAATGTCAAAATCTGATGTAAACTTGGGTTCCTGCTCCAATGTATGATAGTGAATCTTATCAGATTTCCTTTCCCAAATAAATGAAATGGAGCTGACCTCAGAGCTCATGCCAATGAACCTTCCACCTTTGATACCACGTTCTCCTTGGCATTCCTAGTGAATGCGTCTGCAGTGGTAGTCATTCTATTTCGTAAGGGACAGAGCTAATTGTTAGAAATATCCATTCTTCATGTTCCCAAATGGATGTCCAAAGACCTTCCTTGGACCCTGGTTCTAACTACTCGAACATTGCAGGATGCATTTCCTTTTGCTATAATGGTATACCTTTTAAAACTCCAAGTCAGCTACAGCCACCTCAGCCTTCGTAGTTTGCCTTTCCTTTCCCACTAACTCTTGCTCCGCAGGAGATATATTAGACCATGTCATAGGAAATGAGGCGAGAACAAATAGCAGAGAGATACGCTCACAAACAGCAATTAAGACTTCAAACTATTCTTTAAAGGCTGTGATTTAGCTTGAGAGATTTAAAAATGATTTAATCAAATTACTATGATAATTTAACTTCCCATTTACAGAAAAAGATTCTAACTCATTTTAGCTTTGCCCATTCTCAGATCTGCTAATACTTGAAATGCAAACTCACTAAATCTGAACTATTTAATTAGACCATGATTCAGCTGGCAGACTGCTGAAGAAAATATTAATCTCCATTAAGGATGCTAGTTCAAGTTCTGGCTCTGTGGCTTTGTTCTTTTGGCTAAATTTACATGTTGATGCCAGGCTCAATAGAACTGGCATTAATTTATGTAATTATTTAGCTTTGGTTGTTAATGCCAGATTCTTTTTAACTATTGCGTCAAAGGAACTAGTACCAGTATTTGTGCTAATGGAAATCAGTTAAACTTATTAATGGAGATCACTGGTTTATGAACTAACCAGACAGGCTGAGCCTGCACATTAAAAACATAGGGTGAGCTGTTAAAGATACTTGGATACTTGGGCCCAAGCCCAGACCTATTAAATCACAATACTGGGGCTGGGGCTAGATCCAGGACATCAGTATTACAAAAAAAAAAATCTAGGCAATTCAGCCAAAATGGGGTTGGACAATAAGATAAACGAATGTAAATAAAAAGAATCAAGCTTTGAAAAGATAGAGTACAAAGGAAACATAGATGGCCACCAAAGTATTGAGTCCCAGCCCTTCATAATAATAAAATAGAATGCTTGCATGACTTTTGATGGGTGACTCTGTGAATGGAATCCTAAAGAATTGTTTATCTAGTTCTAATCATTGACTTTGAAAAGATCGTGAGGCACCCCTACTCCTGCAGCTATACAAGCCAATGAGTCTTCAAGCCATGGCACAAGGAGGTTTTGTTTGTAGCCCTTACCTGTCATAAAACATTATTCCCTAGGATAAAATTATGAATTGCATGGGGTATAGGTATAGTTGCTTGAGAGAGTCCACAAGCTATTTGGGAACTGTCTTCAGTGCTTGTTGCTTCTCATTCTTGGCAATACTTAATAGTGTTGGAAATACACATATTAGAAATATGCAAAGTGTTTTCCAAGTTAAATCTGTACAAACCAGCACTCTGGAATACAGGTGTGAACATTCTTTGTTGTCTGTAAGCCACCTACATAAAGAAGTACAGTAAAGGTATGGGTTACAGTGTCTTTCTCTTAAGCAGAGTAGACTGGAAAGGATAGGGCTGTGAACAGAAGCCTGCTTTCTAAGAGTTCATGTTTCCAAACTCTCATGAGCAAGTTGTCAAGAGAGTGGTCCCATGGTTAGCAAACATCTGGGTCCTGAAGAACAGTGGTTAACAAATAGTTGCTACTAAAGTTAGACAGACTACAAGAGGCAGAACTTAGAATCATAAAGTTTTGTTTGAAAGTAAAATGACTGGATTTTAAGAAAATGCCAGGGGTAGCAGAAAATTTTTAATCTTCTTAAATTTGCATGTAACAAAAGCAAAAATATCCCTAAATGCCAGAGCAGTTAGATGGCAAAATTAAAAACATATGGAGATTTATAGAAC